GATATAAGTGATCAACTCTCTTTTATATATAAGAATACTGAATCATCTGATCATAAATCAGCTACAGATTTACAATCAGAATTACTTATTCAATCAGAACAATATAATAATAATATCTTTAATATTATATCTTTTGTTTCAAATCTTCTAGCAGATACTGATGAATATACACTGCTTGTAAATTATATCAATGCAATCACTGATAATTATTTGATCATACTCTCTGTTCATCACACACCACTTATCAATTTCAATTCACAAGAGTGAATGTATTCAATAATATTCTTCACTCTATTTCCACAGATAAAAGCTGATTTTATAAATAAATATAAATGTTCAGTAACACTCATTCAGTGAGCTCATTATCTGATACAATATTTGAATGAATATTTTACTAGACATTTATAATTTTACTATATAGTATTCAATCAAATACTGTGTGAGCAAGTATTTCATACTGTAAAGTGATATATTATCAAAGACAGAGACAGTTGCAATCTGACTATTGATGATATTCAGAAGATAATACTTGATATCAATCATTTACTTCTTCTTCAAAAAATAGTGAGATCTGAATCATCAATCAAAGATATATGATCATATTAAAATAAATAATGATATGAACTTGAGAGTATCATACACTGACTTTCAATAAATAGTCTATTTCTCATTCTCAGTACTGCAGATCATCAGTGATATGATCTACAAATTTATTTACTCAGATTTCATAAATATCATCAGACTACTGATGACAGATAGCAGACAGTAATTATATATAACAACATTCAGAACAATCTTCACATTATTGTTTATTATTTAACTCACTATTTTCATCTTTTTATTCAGTGAATATTAATATTAAAATTTAATATAGTTGATCACTGATTTTAATTTGAGTGACAGAGCAGAGACAGTGATTATATTTATAATTTTATCTGATTATATGATACTTCTGTTGCTGATGTGTTATTAATTGTTATTTATCAGACTATTACAACTTTCTGAGATCTTGAAATCACTGTAGTTAACTCTGATTCAATTCATTTCTCAGATTAAAGATATTCATTTTCTTTGTCATTTCATCAACAGATATAAATATATATATTTCTGATGAAGTCTCTCACAGAGTCTCTCAAATCAATACTATTGAATCAATACTAACACTTTTATAGATAAACTTCAGAGACTATTGCATGACTCTGATCAATCATTTTGAAAGATATATATAATATTCTGATATATACTGCTTTTATAGAGATAAACAGATTCATAAAATTCACTGCAGATTTTACTATTCACATCTTTTGTATAATATATCTGCTATTACATATTACAATGATTCAGATGATTCTTTATAATATAAATTTCAATGAATATTTGCTGCTAAGCAAACAGATCAGCTGTTATAAATATTCTCTTCAATAATCACTCTTAACTGACTTATAAATGAGAATCTTTTATCTTTCACTTTCTTGAAAGATATACTGAAATATGCAGCAAAATACTATACAAAAAATGAAATGAAATTCACATTATATAATAATATTGCAAGAGCTGTGTGCAATATAACTTCTCATTTCCACACCTCATTAACTATACAGACAGTGATTACTAAGCTGCTGAATAGATTTATTGATGAGAGAGATTAATCTACTCAAGAAGTATATTATTATCTGTTTGATTTATTTTTGATAGAATGCAGTTACATTGTTATCTCAATATATTATCATAAATATTTTCTTCAGTATAAAAACTTTGAGATCATCAACTCTGATCTTATACAGTAGAAGTCTATATTTAATAAATATAGAAGTTGTTCATCAGTTCTAGATAATATCACACTTCTTCAGTTCATACAGAGTTATAATTTCAAAACTTATAGATAATGACTCTGAGTCTCACTGTAATTAATATTATTCTGATCTCAGTATTTATCTGATTGTAGTAATAGTAAATATCTCAACTTTTACAGAGTAAAGATAATCATACATCATTCATAATATGATTGTAATATTTATTCAGACATATTTGATGAATTTAACAACTGAGTGAAAGTCTATAATCACTGTCTGTATAAATATTAAGATATATATGAATTCAATATATTTGATTTTATGAAGAATAAAGTTATTATAGATAAGTTTGAGTTAGATGAGCAATAGAAGAATACAGTTCAGAATGATTAAAAGATATTGACAGCTGATTTTTCAGATTACAAAAATATCAAAAATAAACTCAGTGATTTTGATATATATAATATGAATATTTATCATAACTGACACAGTCATTGTCACTCTATTGAAGATCTACTCTCAGATGATTAATAGAAGACTATCAAAATATATAATTATTCATTATCTTCAGTATCAATTATAATAAACTCAGATACTCTTATCAATGAGCAGTATCAGTTGTTTAATTTGATCATCAATTATTTCAGATAAAAACTCACTGATGTATCTCAGTCATCTCTGCTTCTCAATATTAATAATCAAGAAGAAACTGATAAATCATATATTATTAATACTATTAGTGAGCATCTTGATTATATGATATATCAGTAGAGAAGAATATTTTCAATAGTCTGATCTGCTTCAACAGATGTGACAGCTTTCAATATTCAAGATATTATATTTCACAGTCTATTATATCTATCTGTTCAGACTGTATATCAATTACTGTTATCTGAAATACTATCATCTCTTCAGAAAACACTGTATTATATAAAATACATCATCATCAATGAAAAATCAATATTTGATCTCACAATGATTAGTCAGATTGATCATCAGCTTAAAAAGTTATATTCACAGTATGATGATATATTTTTTGATAAATGAAGTGTTCTGTTGATTGACAATTTCTATCAACTTCTCTCTGTCAGAGACTTCTCTCTATACTTGATTTCCTCTCATTTATGAGTTGATGATGCTGTTAATATATATCATTTCTTATTCATCACTCTCATTCCTCAGCAGATTATATGTCAGTGTGAAGGTGATGATCAATCAACTCAGTTTAGACAGACACTGAGCAATCTACAAACTAACACTCTAATACAGAACAATTGACAATTGTTTCTCTTCAGAGTAAAGTATAATTTTCATCTCAATGAAGTCATTCTGTTCAAGAATGCCATTCATATATATTCAAAGAATGAGAATATTCATTTATATAATATATCAAGATACAGAGCATACAATCAATCAGTTAAAATAATATTTATCAATCATCTGAAATATAAATCAGCAAAAACAGCCACAGCAGATAAAGTATAGAATCTATTCAATATTATTTACTTGAGTATTGACTGTTGAGTGATACTTATATGCAATTTATAAACTGATAAAGATCTTGTTAATAGATCATTTGATACTGTATATGATATTATTTAAGTTGATTTCTGTAATTCTATACTCACACCTCTGCATACAATACTGATCAAATTTGATAAATATATCAGCTCAGAAGTCATTGTTAATCTTATTAATAATCAGTCTATTGTTTTTATATTCTATTCACAGATGAAATTCAATCTGAATGAAAATTATTATACTCAAGAATAATTTTCTGTTGCACTTATATATATCATTACAGTTTACAAAAGTCAGAATATGACTTTGAATAGAGCAGTTTTGAATATATATAATATAGATTTTATATCTGATCTTACTTATATTATCTATTTTTATATCAGATCTCTCAATGATCTGATGTTTGATCAGAAGTTTGATTATACACACTTTCAAATATCAATGACAACAGTTATATTAAATTATTATAAGAATATAAAATGCAGAAATCAGCAGCAAAATATTGAGCAGTATCTGAATAGTATATACATTGCTGTGAGAGTCTTCAGAAGCTCTCAGCAGTCTTCAATTTCAGAATAACTTTTTTTAATTATTACAAAATATCTATTCAAATTTGAAAGCTGATTAGTAAGTGTATTATACATCTGAAATACTCTTTTTGAGATTTTCATTGTTTCTCTGTTGATAAGATGTTTGAAGTTTTGTATACTGAATTATAGCTTGATTGATTAATATAATCAATATATATTCTACAAATATACATTTTTCCTTATAAGTCAGGTTTTTTTCTTTGCATATATATAATGATAGTCATTATATTATGTTTTCCATTGATTGATTTCTGAAGTGATTCCATTGGAACTTAGAAGTGTTTAGAATATAACACTGTCTTGAAAGTGTTTAAAATATAACACTGTCTTGAAAGTGTTTAGAATATAACACTGTCTTGAAGATGTTTAGAATATAACACTGTCTTGAAGATGTTTAGAATATAACACTGTTTTGAAGATGTTTAGAATATAACACTTTTCTGAATAGAACTCTTTGTGAATAACTTGTTAATCTTGAATAGTATATATCTATTTTATTCAATATCTATCTATTTCATTAGTTGAGTTGTATAGATATCTTGAAGCAGTCTTCAGTTTCATTCATTGTATTCTATCTACTTAGTCACTCACTTCACTAACTCATTCATTCAACTTCTATAAAACTACTCTTCTTCTTATCTTTTATTTTTCTTATCTTAGAGAAATTACATTATCTACCTCTTTTCACACAGCATATCAATCCCACTCTTATATCATTAGATGAGTTGACATTTTTCTTCACAAAGCATTCTACAGCTGATTAGTATAATTTAAATGATGAAAAATATATAAGAAATAAGAGTATTTGATATTTTTGAATCATGATTCAAAAGTTATCTGAATTGCAAGCTTGTTTAGCTCACTTATATCTTATATTCTGTATGATATATTTGGATTATCTGCTAATAAATCTGTTGACAGTAAATATACTATCTTCATCTCTATTCTCACCCCCACTTCTAACAAATAAGTGCAATATCATAAGTTTAAACAATGGAAATCTTGTATTAGAGTCAAATATTGCTTGAGATGATATTTCAATCTATTTCACACATGTTGCTGATGGCTAATATATAATATAGCCAGTTTATTCATCATGACTGACATCACAGAGGCTCTCTCAACTATATTCTCACATCATTCTCATACTTCTTTCCATATCTCTTTCAAATTTAATATGGATATCAATCAGTTTGAAGAACAAAGTAAGTTGAAGTCTTTCTCAGCTATTACTCTGTGTTAATAAATCATTACAATTCCATCACAATTCACAGCAGAATCAATAAATATAGCAAAGATCACTACAAAAGCTGATATACTTCAGAAATTTTAAATTGTTAATGAATCTGAATTTATAATCTGATTGCAGAGTTCTCTGATCCATCTGTACTATTTTGAATTTTATATAAATTATCTAAGTTTGAAACATATCAAGAGGTCAAAAGCAAGAGCAAAAGACTCTGTTTTCATAAATATTGAGATTTATTTACTTGAAGAAGAGCACAGTGAATGAGCATATTTTTCTACAGAGAAATCAGATTTTAAATTATATAAGATATTCAATTTTTATTGCTGCTTCATTGTTAAAATCACATTCTGAAACCATCAATTATAGAACAGTGTTTATTATTGAAAAAATATACCAGAATCAGAATACCACAGACAAATGTTCATACTTCTCAAATGATTGATAAAGAAACACACATCAAATTATTTGATAGAATGTATAAAGAAAGATCTACTCAGATTGAAATTTTACTCAAATCTTTCTCTATATTTCAACTCTATAGATGTATATAATGATGCTGCAGAAGCCTTTCACAGCAATCTGAATACTCTGTTCACTATCACAGAAATCATCAATTTCACACCCTCATTCACAGCAATAAACAAAGAAATTATCATTTTCAATACTGAGAATCTGACACAAGCAACTCTCAGTGCTACTCAGAAAGACATCAGTACTATAAATAAAAGATAAAAAGATAAAATTCTGATATCAGTTCAGTATTTAGAGCTTATATACTTGTCTGATATTATTGATTTCAAAGAATCATATTGAAGATGAGTCAATATATACAAAATCATTTATATCTCACAGAAGATAATGAATACAACAGATACTGAAATCAAAAAAAACAACAGTAAATTTTCTGTATTTACAAATACTGATTATTTGCAAGCTGAGTCAATTGACTAAGATCAACAAATATTCAGTGATCAATCAGATGAGATTATTCATTCAACACAGAAGTCAGTAAATAGATTTTACAAGATATAAATATTTCTTGACAACTTCATATACAATCTTCAAATTATGAAGAGATGTGTAAGATATTGAAAATAATAAACTCAAATATATTGAGAGTATCTGATATGCAGCACAATGTAGAACTTAAATTTTGACAGTCAGTGACTGTAAATACAATATATGATTTTTGAATGAATAAATTGCTGTATAAATGTATAATCACAGATCTGATGAACCTTGATAAGACATGAATGATTATTATATATATACTCAGTGTAAATTAACTCAATTTCTGAAGACTCTCACAATGTGTTGTATAAAAAGCAGTATTAATCAATGTATTTGCAGCTGAATAATAAAACACAAGAGATAATATATTCTAAATCAATCATTTTGATTATTTCTTCTGCTCTTCTTGATCAGTGATATGCTGAAATCAGTATCATATCTGATACTTTTAATATCTGAGTTTATTATAATAATACATAAGATGATAGATCTGACTGCAGACTTGTGTAAAAGCAGTTGATAAAATATAATGAAATATTTCAGCAGCAATAATCATTGCAATAAATTGTTCTTATATTATATCAGAGTCTGATAGTATATAATAACTCAAATATTATTCAATTCTGAGTTGCTGAAGATCAGAGTAGAGCAGAATATAACTATTTATATAATCTGTCAGATTTATTTGAAATCACTGTATTTGATGAAGTTCATATATTATGAAACAGAGAGACAGTTATAACTTGTATATACTTTGATCTGAGAGTAGAATATCACATTATATTGAGTATCATTCTCTATATAAACAATATAAGTGATATAAAAAACCTTACAATATTTATTTCATCATCATTCTCAATTCTTTCATGGAATAACAGCAGTCATCTGATGAAGTATGATATCAATTATAAATTTAACTCTTTCAAAATGGATATGCATGAATCATCTGCTATATTTTATGTGACAGTTAAGACACTTGATTTCTTGATATAAAGAGCATCACTCACAGATACACAGATGAGTCTTCATATCTCTAAGTTTCTGAAGATATATTCAGTTCACTGAATATTGATGAGCCATCTTTCATCAGTAATCAGATTAAAAATAGAAGATGACATTTCTATAACACAGTATTATATTGTTGAATGTCAATTTATCAATTAACAACTGAAAAAATACCATAAATTAACTAAGTATCTATATCAAAGACTTGTTTCAAAATTATCAGATGAATGGATTTTTATAAACATGAGTAAATATAGACAACTGATCTTATTCATCTTTTGACTTGACTATATATATTATCACAAGTCTGTTATAATCAGCAAGATTTCTCTGACTCTTATACAAGCTGAATATATGACTCTTTTTACTGAATGACTAAATTTATATTGCTCTGCTCAATATAAAGCTGTGAAAGACTTTATCAGAGACTTTCAGTTGATACTTCTCTTCTTCTCTGAAATAAACACTTCAAGTCTCAAGAATCAGAAGAAGACACTTATATTGATATTATATGAGACTTCTTAACTCTATATCTTGATGAAACAGCTCAGCTATAAAGTATTTGAGCTTAATAAAAAGTCAATTGTTTGATGCAATGAATCAGATGAACAAATGCTTGTGGCAGAAGTATATACTCTCACAGATATTTTATATTATATCTTTTATACTAGTCTGAAATCAAGCAAATAGACAGCCATAATGATCAAATTTAATAAAAACAGAGAGAATTCAATAATATTTATTATCTTCTATCAAGTTGGAAGTGCTGAGTTCAACTTACAATATTTTTATTGAAACACTCATTACTATAATATAGCAAGTAATCACTCTATAATCAATCAAATCATTGAGTGCATCCTTTGTATTGAACAAATCAGAATTGTCAAGATTTATAAATATTTTATTTTCAATTTCTTTAATATTCATAAGCTGTAGAAGTTAAATTTGAGATATATTTCAGATTTTATAACTGAGTTGAATCAGACAATGTTCAGAATATACAAGAAAGACAGTTTTGAGAAGAACACAGATGGAATTGAAAAACTATATCTAGATTTTTGAGTTAAGTTGAAAAATAGAGCTATTCATCACTTAAACAATGGTGAAGATATATCAGAGAATGTAAGTTTATTAGATGAAAATATATTGATTACTGAGTTGATGAAGTTGTTCTGAGGGATGAATAATGATATTGATATAAACAGTATCTCTGTTTCACTGAGTGAGGTTATTGCCAACTAGTGAGAAAGTTGATGATTTTGTTTTGTTTTATTTCTAGAGTTAAATCAGTTATGAATTAAGTGTGGCAAAATTAATTATGGTAGTTGAATATAATAATAATATACCTTCATAATATCACTCTGTTCTGCCCAGCTGCATGTTACATAAAGCTTCTGCTATTCTTTCAACACTTGAAAGGAATTAATACTGCCTTTCATTCCCTGAGACTTTGAGATTAGTTTGTCCACTCTCTGAAGAGGGGGTGCTGAGGGCAGACTGCCTCTAGTATAAACTGTGTAGACAGTATAAATGGTTTAATCTGCAATATTGATAATGTCTGCTTAATCAGTAGCACATCTGTTACAACTATTTATTTATATAGTTTATAATATATATAAAAAACAGTTAATTATTCATTATTTTTATTAATTCTTATCTTATAGAAGACTGCAGAGATGTTAAACTTTATAAATTATTTTATTTTTTCTATTCATTCAAGTGTTTTATTGATGAGCAGAAGAGAATATCAGTTCTTTTATATAATTTTATTAAGTTTTTAATAATCAATACAGAATTATAGATCTTTATCTGATTTCTTTATAAATAGTACAGATGCTGCAGTTAGACTGGCTGTGTGATTATATATAAAACTAAGTTCAAATTTTTTCTCAGTCTTATTATTAGATATCTTAGTTCTGGTTCTATATAATGTTTAGTAAATTAGTTATTTTATACTGTTTATATTATAAATCTAGTCTCAGATCATATTTTACTAATAAATTAGTGATTCTAATTCCATTTAATCCCATTTTGTAACCATGATTTACCCTATATAGATTGGCAGCAGTGATAGATTAGCAGTGGTAGATAGGTTGGCAGCAGTAGATAGGTTGGCAGCGGTAGGTAGGTTGGCAGCGATAGATTAGCAGCAATAGATTAGCAGCGATAGATTAGCAGCAATAGATTAGCAGCGATAGATTAGCAGCAATAGATTAGCAGCGATAGATTAGCAGTGATAGATTAGCAGCGATAGATTAGCAGCGATAGATTGGCAGCGATAGATTAGCAGCGATAGATTGGCAGCGATAAATTGGCAGCGATAGATTAGCAGCAATAGATTAGCAGCGATAGATTAGCAGCAATAGATTAGCAGCGATAGATTAGCAGTGATAGATTAGCAGCGATAGATTAGCAGCGATAGATTGGCAGCGATAGATTAGCAGCGATAGATTGGCAGCGATAGATTAGCAGTGATAGATAGATTGGCAGTGATAGATTAGCAGTGATAGATTGGCAGCAGTAGATTGACAGTGGTAGATAGATTGACAGCAATAGATAGATTGGCAGCGATAGATTAGCAGCAATAGATTAGCAGCGATAGATTAGCAGTGATAGATAGATTGGCAGTGATAGATTAGCAGTGATAGATTGGCAGCAGTAGATTGACAGTGGTAGATAGATTGACAGCAATAGATAGATTGGCAGCAGTGATAGATTCACTAGATTAGCAGTGGTAGATAGAGGATCTAATAGCAAGCCATCAGAGCATTGAGCACTAAGCAAGATAGAGATAATATCTCCACCAATTATATCATCAGATTGATGTATTATATAATCATCAGAATGAGACTAAACTTGAGTCAAAATCATGATCAGTCTCAGATCATATTCTTATTTTTGATAGTCAGTTACTTTATATGAAATATCAAGATTTTTTAGTCTTATTTTACTTATATTTTGATAATTCTAGTCACTTTATACTTTCATTCTGATTCTGATCTCACTAAAATCATGCCAAGAAATGGACTGAGATCAAATCAAATCAAATCAAATGTTTAATTTATAGTTTCAGCAGTCAGTCTAATTGACATTCTCTGTAGCAGTTGTATTTATATAGATTAGATCACTAAAGCAACAGAGCTCAATCACCACTGGTATTATAATGATATAAAGTGTAAAAGTTACTTAATTAAATCCCTTAAACAATACTGTAATAAGGATCTAGCAAATGTAAAATTCTCACCAGATATTTCACTGTATATATTCATCTTACTGTTGCTTTCTTTACATAAATAAAGCAAAAACAGCACCCATATATACACACAGTGTTGCATATATATATATACAAGAGTGCTATTCACACATGTGATTCTTTCTGTCTTTGACTGTATAACAGTTTCTTATATTCTTAGTTGATTCTCTGACATATTTTCTCTTATGATATTTGAGATAAATTGTTAGATATTATATGTACTGATTTTGTGGTTTTCAACTAAGTGATTCAGCTGCTTCTGTTCCCCGGTAGGGAACTCAAGATGCGTGGGTTCAAAACCCACAGAGGAAAACATTACATCCAGAGCCAACTTCTCAGCTTCTAAAATAATGGGATGTAAACTTGCCAAGTAGGTACCTTCGGGCGGACTTACTACCTGATTTAGCTTGTTTCTGAGCTGGAAACCTGTATTGCATGTATCTAATTCTGTCTTTCACTAATT